CAGAGCCCCCACAAGAGGCTCCATCCCATGACCCACGGATCCCATGTCTGGGATCATGACCTGAGCCCAAATCAAGAGTCGGATACTCAACCTAATAAGCCACCCAGGTGCCCAGGGCTACTTGGTTTCTGCCTGGTGTGTCAGTGAGGCGGGACAGGATAGGGAGGACACAGTGGAACCCTGAGTCCCCGGGTCCTGGGCACAGTGTCCAGACATCTGGAGATTTGCCCAGCTCTGGCTGGAAGCCAAACAGACAACTCTAAAATCTCTCAACCAGAGAGAGATATCAATTCAGGTATTTAGAAGTTTCCTCCAACCTGGCTACACACTGAATAGTCAGAAAGATTGCTTTTTCCCTGAGATGAGGGGGTGGTAGACTTGTCATTATCTAACCTAGACTCGAAGGTTACCTGAATCAAGATTTTGATCTGTTCTTCCTCTGCTCCTGGAAAGGGTATTCATCCCACCTTTCTTCTACACCTCAGCCTTAGTCACCACTTTGAGAGTCAGATTTTGTTTCCAGTCTAGACTAGACCAGACAAGGGGGCCGGAGGGATGCAGGAGACCCAGGGAAACCTCAGTGTCCTGCTGGGCAGAAGCTTGCCTCTAGGGCAAGGCTGACCTTCTGATAGACAGAGGCCCCCTGACACATTGGTTTCAGGAGTTGACTTTTCAGATTCTTTAATGTGACATTGTTCTTCTGGAAACAATCCAAGGGACCTGGTTAACATTTTAAAAACTGTTTTCCTAAGGAAAGGGGGGCAGGGGGGGGCAGGCAGGAGAAGAGGTAAAGAATTACACAAAGATTTAGTCTAACGGCTTAAAAATCAAAAGGATCATTGGACAGATAAGATATCGAGTGTAATAGGAAACACATTGATCCTGGGGAGATGACTTAATATGGGCCCTTCGGTCTCTTCAGAGCTTAAACAATTATCTACAACTTGGAATTATACTGTAAATTCCCACATCGGTGTGTGTTCTGGATCCGTTTTTCGGGGCGCAGGCAGCAAGCTTGAGTTATCTAAACCAGGCTGAAAATTAGAAGCCATTAATAGCCTCTCATGAAATTGCGTCTCGTATTTTCATAAGCAAAATACGCTGAGGGCCACAAGGATTCAGTGATAGGAAGGGGCAAAACGCTGCTAGTTATTTTTCTGAAACCTAATCTCAGGATCTTTTTGAAGAGCTCCTTCACTAGCAATAAGATGAATGCCAAGATTAATACAGACCATGTTTTTCCCACTTAGAAGTGGTGACCAGGTACATCCTTTATGTGGAGAAGTTTCCTGAAGTTCCCAGAGGTGGGTCTCTCAGCCACTTCTCACAGCCATTCAGCCCACCAGTCTCCACACTTCCCAGGCATCTTCGACTGAAAACCGAGGCCGGTCTGGCCCACAAAACTCCAAGTTGCCACACCTTAGTTTTCTAGTATTCCCTTATAAACTGTGGAGCTTAGATGACCAGGGACTCTCTCGTTTTGCTTTGTACAGAAGAAACAAAACTCTGAAACTCTCTTCCAAGTGCTTCTCTGTCCTTCCAGGGTGTCTGGGGGTTAGTAACCGGTTCACATTGAGCAGCCGCCACCCAGGGGCCCAACACTTGGCCTCAGCAGGCGGGGGTTCAATTCATCACCCACTTGCCAGAGGAGAGACACAGGAGACTGAACGGAGAAGCCTCCTCTCTCAGTTCAACTGGGAAGGATAAACCACAAGCTGGCACTAATTAAGAGCTAATGGCCTTACAGTGGAGCGTTGCCAAAGGATAACGACCCTCGGGCTACAGCATAAATATCAAGGCATTTGGGGCAGAGCCAAGACATATATTTTCAGAGTACATTAGACACCACTGCAGCCTTCCTCGCCCTAGCTCTGCAAGAAAAAAAGAAGATTTTAAGGTAGGTGGGAAAGGAGTAGGAAAGGTGGTCAGTCGGTCAGAAAGCCTCGGGGTGACTTTGGGGAAAGAGTTTGCTTTATTTATCTCTAACTTCTGTGTGTCCCAGAATTACCCTGGGGGCTCATTAGAATGTTATCTTGTCCCCTCCTCCCCCCAGCAGGTTTGATTTCGGTAGCTCTCAGGTGAAGCCCAGGAAGGAGTCTGCATTTGGATTCCGTTTGCCCCATGGTGATCTTCTGACCACACTCTGAAAAATGCTACCGTAGAAGCTGCGGCTCTACCTGCGCCTTAGGTCCTGAAGAGAAAGTTTTTACAGAATGAAGAAGAGGGTGAGGTCAAGCCAGATTCTCTGCTTCCTGTGAAAACACCAACCGGATCTTTCCTAGCAGAACGTGGCCCAAGATTGTTTCCGAGAGGTGGCATCCCAGCCGGTTCCTGCTGGGATCTTCTTGTTCAAACCAATCTGTGGCTACTGAGAGCAAGATTCCAGGGAATGAGGATCTTAGCTGTGGGTCTGGAGGAAAAAAACAAAGCACCTCGGCTGCATCCTCTGTACTAGGTCTGCTATGCTTTTATATACCATAATTCATATGATCACATTGTAACCTTTCAGGGTAGTTAAAGAAATACTCTGTTTAAAAGCTGAGCAATGATAGGCCTGGAGGTGCATCTTGCCTCCTCTGGTCATCGTGATGTGAGGAAGGAGGGTGAAAAATAGTTGCTGTATTACAATTGCAGTGAGCAGGGCAGGCAAACCAAACCGGTAACTTTGGCTTGACCTTCCTAGATCAAACGTCTTATCAGCTGGCTGAACTGAGGTTGGTTGTTGGGACCAGCAAATACTTGTGAAAGGCCTGATGGATCAGATTATAAAAATAGATGGAAAGTTCGGACGATAAATGCAGCTGACTATGAGAACAGGAGAGAAACAACCCACCATATCATCTGGGAAAATGAAACTCCTTGGCAAGACTTCACAACAGCCTGATTCAAAATTTCATAATGAAATTATGTCTCTGATCAAAGCCTGAATGAGCTCATGGGCTGATTTTTGCCATTCGTGTTTATTCTGGTTTGAACCAAATCGAAGCATTAGAAACACATTATGCTAGTCTTCACTCCAGGAGTGGGAGATTGCACCGGCGTTTGGGGGAACAAAGGGACAGTATGAGGAAGAAGGGGACGTCTTTGGATCCTCGCTGGGCACAAAGTTGTTTCTGATTGGCTTTTAGGGACTCCTCCGGGACACCATGTCTGGGTCAGGGCCTTCGTAGCAAAATTGGGTTTAATTTCATGATACGTGTCCTTGGGGCAATAAAAGTGAATGTCAAGGAAGAAAAGGTATTTCCCTGCTATAGTCCAGGACATGCACTGATTTTGCTCTAGAAAGAATTTTTTTTTTTTTTTGGTTTTGTTTCAGACTCAGAGAAATAATGACTCAATCATCTCATCCAAAGAATGTAATATTCACTTAATACCAAGTTGTTTTTACTGAGTAAGCCACACCACAGGATCCTCAAGGCACAGTGACTGATGGGCACTTCCTGGCAACTTGAGGTGCCAAGAACGGAGGGCTTCTTGGTGGAAACAAGGGCATCTAGAGACTTTCCATATTTTGGTCGTAGAAATAGCAACTGCTGGGTTTTACCTTACTCTCACCCTCAGGGCAAGAAGCATTCCCAACTACTACTGACTAAATGTTTGTGTCCCCCTAAAATGCATCCACTGAAGCTCTAATTCCCAACATAATGGTGTCTGGAAGCGGGGCCTGTGGGAGGTAATTAGGTTTAGATGAGGTCATGAGGGTGGAGTCCCACTGATGGGATTAGTGCTCTTAAAAGAAGAGGAAGAGATGCATCCTCCTCTCTCCAACCTGTGAGGGTATAGTGAGGAGACAGCTGTTTGCAGTCTGGAGAGAAAGTTCTAGGAATATGTCAACTATGTCGACAATCTGACTTTGGACTTCCAGCCTCCAGAACCGTGAGAAGTGTTTGTTGTTTAAGGCATCCAGTCCATGGTATTGTTTTTACAACAGGCTGAGCAAAAACACCAGCTATCCATTCCTTTGTTCAGTGAATACTTATTGACTCCTTACTGTATATCAAGTGCTATTCTAAGTCTTGGAATTACAGTAGTGAACAAATTTACAAAGTCCCAGCTCTTAAGAAACTTACATTCTAGTTTTAGGGAAGCTCTGATAAGCCTGTAAATATCATAATGTCAGCTAGTGATAAATGCCATAAAACAAGTTAACACAGAATAATTGCAGAGGGCAGGAGGCAGCTGATTTGGAAAGATCAGCCAGGAAAATTTTCTGTCAGTAGAAAGGATTGCCAGATAAAATCCCAGGTTCCCAGTTAAATTTGTATTTCAGATCGACAATGACTTTTTTTTTTAGTAAAAGGATGTCCCAAGTATTGCATAGCACACACACTAAAAATTGTCATTTATCTGAAATTCTAATTTAACTGGGTATCCTGTATTCTAATGTGTGGAAATCTTGCAACCCTACCAGTAGGTGACATCTGAGCTAAGAACGGAATGACCTGAGGAACTAACTTTTCAAAGTTTCAGGGAAGAGTACTGCAGGTGGAGGGATCCAGAGTAAATGTCAGAATAACCAGAGGGAGGGAGGTACAAGTGAGGTCAGATAAATAGGCAGGGGCCAGATCATGCCGAATTCTGCAGGGATGGGAGGGAGTCTTGAGTTTCTTTCTCCCTTTAAGTGTGATGATGCGCTATTGGAGTTTTAAGAAGGGTGACAAGGTCTGATGGTTGGCTGCTGTTTGGTCAGCCACTTTTGGAAGGGTTAGAGGACAATCTCAAAAAATAATTGAACTTAAGCTTGTGCCATTGGCCTGAGAAGTGGGGGTGGACGGACTAGGAACTCGGGGCTGCGCGTGCCGGGTACCTAGGCGGCAGCTGGGGAGGGGCAGCTTGGCGGTTGCTAGGCAGCGAGGGGGGCGGGGGCTCCTCGCACTGAGACGGTTTAGCTGCCTGGACGGGGGCGGAGCCAGGAGAGCAGCGGCGCGCGCCGTGCGTTCTCAGGAAGTCGTGCCGGGGAAGCGAAGGGCACGAGCGGAAGTGACGTCGCCCATGCCCACGTGGTCCATCGTGGTGGCCGCGGGTCGTTTCGGCAGGACCTGGGAAGTTAGGATCTCGTTTACTCTACGGAGACCGGACCTAGCCCTCCGGTCCCCGTCCCGTCGGCAAAATGGTGAAGCCCAAGTACAAAGGACGGAGCACCATCAACCCCTCCAAGGCCAGCACAAACCCTGGTACAGGCGGCGGGGCTCGCGGAGGGTGGAGCTTGGAGGAAGCTTGGTGGGGAGGGCTCCGAGGAGATCGAGGGGGAGGAGATCTCTGGGCGGCAGAGAGCTTGGAGTGGCCTCTAGCCGAGTGGCTTTTGGGGGCAAGAAGGGAGAACGTGGTTTTTTCAGTCGCAGGCACTGAGGAGGGCTGACATCTTGCACACCTCTCAGGGCCAGGTGCCAGGCACCAGGTCTGAAGACGGGGAAAGTGAACACTTGGGCCTGGCAGCCATGGGGCATCTCCAGTTGTGAGATGCAGAGACTGGGAAGCCCTGAGTTGGAAAGGGCAGTAATCTTGACCTCCTCTTGTGTTCCTTTGCGGATCAGCCTCTCCCCCAATGTACTTCAGACTTGTATGATTGGAAGTTAGAAGTTAATTGGATAGTCAGGTTAAAAGTGGTGTAGGCCGACCCATTTGGCGCTTTGCACTTGACCACACTTGCCTGCCACTCTCACTTTGACCGTTTAAATGAGAAGCTTCACGTTTGGCTTTTGGAGTCATCCCACCTGGTAAAGCGCACAGAAACCCTGCAGATAGAGGGATAATGATCATTTCAATAAAGATGTTTTTGGAGATGTTGATGAGTTTTGCTGAGTTTTCACTTGCAGGATGAACAAGATAGTCTTTGGGCGAGTTTAGTTAATAATCCTTCTTTTTAATATGTTTTAAAAGTTTTTGATGACTTTCGTTCACATTGCATGCTTTCCCTGGATTGCTGGTAAAGTATGCAATTTCTGTACACCAGAATCTCAGAATGTCGGAACCAAAAAGGCCCTTAGAGGTTCCGATGTTATAGGTGAAGGGACAGAGCCAAAATTGGGGAAGTGGCTCCTCCCAGTTGGCGCAGTTGGTGAGCAGTAGAGCCAACAGCGGTGGGATTTCAGCCTGTTTGCTCCCGCATCATTTCAGGAGTAGGCAGGTGATGTGAAGACATCCCCAAAAGGAAGAGGTAGGCTAGTATTAGCATGCTTATTTGTCCGTTTCTCTCTGAGATGTAAGGCAAGAATTGCTGCCTATTTTGCTGTCAATGAAACTAAAATCAAACATTAGGAAATTAAGACACTGGTACACAAGGAACACCTAAGTATCGAAATTGTCATCTCCATGGTATATAGTAGGCACTCCGTATTTGTTAAGCAGAGGTAGGTATCTCAGTAAGAGCACACATGGCAATCTAGTGCTTTTGTTTAAATTCTGGCTCTGCCATTTGGTAGCTGTGTGATCTTCGGCGAGGCGTCTGGCCACCTGTGCCTCAGTTTCTTAGCTTGCAGAATAAGGACAGTGTCTCTCTCCTGATAGGGTTATTATGTGGATGACGTGAGATGATGCGTGTAATGTGGATCGCACAGTGCCACACTTAATGCTTAGAATGATCAACTCTTATCGAATACAGTCATATTGAGGATCAAAGATTAGGGCAGCTTTGCCATACCGTGTAGCTTCCGATGATCGTAATTTTGCCGGAACGATGTAGGGAGAGTAGACATTTTGCGGTGAGGCGGGGCTGCAGCTTGCCTGCTTGGAGCTAGTTGGGGTGTTTGAGGCAACGAACATACTTAAACCTGGTTATCAAATAGTTTGCCTTCTACTTCCGTCTTTCCTAGATCGAGTACAGGGAGCAGGAGGCCAAAACATGAGGGACCGGGCCACCATCCGGCGCCTGAATATGTACAGGCAGAAGGAACGCAGGTAAGTGTTGCGCACTACCATTCCCTGCCCTCCCTCCCTTCATGTCCCGGACTTATAGCTGAAACCTCATAACCTTTGATGTTCCCACACCCCCTTTCCCCAGATATGAGCAGTATATTTTCAGATGTCATCTTATATGGGTGTTGGTATGATCAGTTGTAAAGTTTTGGTTAAAGACATGCTTAGTGGGTGGTGAAATAGTGATTGTGTCACAAGACCGTAGGACAGCGAATGGCACATGAAATCTCTAGGTAAATACCCCTAAGCTAGAAATCTGGTTTTCCTTAACAGGGCCTATAGGACTGTAGTTGTGAGAGCAGCCAGAAAAGTTGTTGTTTAATGTGAAACTTTAGATCACAACATTGTGGCACTTGGAAACTCTCACAACTGTGAGTTCTGCTGAGGCAGCCTCTACCACCGGGGCTTGCTGACCGTGGCATTTTGCTAGCTGGTCTTAATTTGCTTGGTAATTAGACTCTTCATCCATTCTGAAAGATGTGTTTAAAACATAAACGTCAATGAACTTGATCTGCCTTAGTCACCTACTCTGCTGTTTGCTTTAAGAATTTTGAGTTCCAGCATAAATCACCATCTACTTAAAATTCATGTAGACCGGCCTTCAGAGAATTACCCCCAAACTCAAGTATGTGGGTTTTTTTTTTAAAAAAACAAACAGTAAACAGATTTTTCAGCATTATTTGTTATTCATCCAGCAGAAATCATTACGTGCTCTGTTGCAAGAGGTTTAAACGGCTTTTGGACAAATCTGTTTCAAATGTAACAGTCCTTTTTGTTTACTGAAATCTGTATTTCATGATCATCTAAAACCAGAAAGAGGAAAAAAAAAAAAGGTCCTTTTGATGGGAAGGGTGTTCTGTAAACCAAGCCTTGCTGTTGCCTCTCTTCTGTCATCAACCAGAATCTGTTATTTCCTCAATTTAGGAACAGTCGTGGCAAAGTGATTAAGCCTCTGCAGTATCAGTCAACCGTGGCTTCTGGTACAGTGGCAAGAGTGGAGCCAAATATTAAATGGTTTGGTGAGTCCTGTCACTGCCCTCTGTCACTTCTGTTCTCCTGAGTGTGCTCTCTATGGAAAAAAGTCAGCCTAAAAGGGGTCTAAAAGGCAGAAGCTTTTGGGTGGGTAGTACTGTCCAGGGTTATAGGAGAAAGGGGTGAGAAGTACCTATAGTGGGAAAAGCCCTAAGAAAAGTAGTAGTGGTGGTGGGGTGCCATAAGCAGGCTCCTTTTTTTTTTTTTTTTGAGAGAGAGAGAGAGAGAAAGTGCCAGTGTGGGGGAGGAGGGGTAGTGAGAGAGAATCCCAAGCAGGCTCCGCACTGATACCACAGAGCCCACTGTGGGGCTCAAACCCATGAACCATGAGATTATGACCCGAGCCGAAGTCAGAGGCTTAAGCGGCCGAGCCACCCAGGCGCCCCTAAATAAGTTCTTTGTGTAAAGAGCCCATTGTTCATTGGCAGTGACCCCTCTTAAATGGATAAGGCCGTCCTTAGTGACCAGCACCTGCAGACCCAAGAGCCCTCCCGCTTGTTGATTTCCTCTGCTCTAGAATGAGGATAAGAGCCGTCCCCGTCTCCTCGGACTGCTGTGGGGACTGGGGGGGGTGGTACGCGGGCGGCGCAGTGGCCAGCGAGCAGGGCATCCGCACTGCCGGCCGCCCCGCAGCCCTCACCCTCGTGAGTTCTGTGTTGATGCTGCACCGGCCATTTCGTTGAACGTATGTTGCCAACTCCTTCACTTACAGGGGGTCCTCCAGCTAGTGTTGTATGGTTTTACTTTGTTCCCTTGCCTGGATTTATTGGCGAACTTAACAGTCCTTTCAAACCCTCGTAACCCTGAAAGCGGTCGTTGTGACTCAGGTCCTGTGCTTCAGGATTCCATGGGCGCATGGGAGTGCCGGCTGTGATCCGCCCCAGGTCTCTTCGGTGGATCTCGCGGGGAGTGTAGGACATTTGTCACCTCTCTGTTCTATTCGGTGATGTTGATTTTTCAGTTTCATCCAGTCAGGAAGCCGGGCTTGGAAAACTCTTGAAACCCTTTGTGTGTCTGGTTGGTGGATTAATTAGTGCACAGTGTATGAGTGCAGGAGAGGCAGTTTTTTTGTTTTATCCCCCCCACCCCCCATCCCCCCTTTTAAGTTTGAAAATGGCTCCACGGGATGGGTGTATCAGATGTTTGGGCAAGCCGCGGTGACAGAGTCTCACTCCTCCCTGTGTCCCTGGGGACAAGGGCGCGGCATCAGAAAGGAGTTGTTTTATAAGTGGCAACATTCTTCCGTAAAACAGGAAACACGCGTGTGATTAAGCAGTCGTCATTGCAAAAATTCCAAGAGGAAATGGGCACGGTTCTGAAGGATCCGTACAAAGTTGTCATGAAGCAGAGCAAGTTACCCATGTCTCTCCTCCATGACCGGACCCAGCCTCACGTAAGTTGCAGGATAGCCCCGGCAGTGGGATTTCGGAGGCACACTCCCCACCGACCCCTCTCTGCCATGCCTATCTTCTGTTTCGCCGGAGGGAAGAGTGGCTTTCATGCAGCGCTGGCGAACTTTCTGAGAGTTCTCCTCTCACCTATGTCAGGGGCCTCCCCCTCCCTGGTGTGAATCGCCCTCCCCCTTCCTAGAGCCTTAGTTATGTTTCTCCATGGGCTTTCACTTCCCCAGCTGTAAAGTCAAGAAAACCTACTTCCTTGGGTGGCCCGATGAAGCGTTTGGCATATAGTGAGGTCATGGTCCACTGCCTGATCAGAGCTGAATAGATCGTGGCTAGTGCTAATACTAGCTGTCGTTTTTCTTGTTGTGTATTTTTTGTTTTTTTGTTTCGTTTTTTGTTGGTGCGCAAACTGGTTTAAGCGGTACTTCCATCAGACTTCGGGAAACGTAGAGTTAGGGTTGGGTTGGTAGGAGGGAGGCCTTTGGTGCTATGTGCTTTGGGCTCCTGTGAGACCCTTGGAATTCTTTGTAGCGAAGGAAGGGGTGCTGGGCAGATGGGTTCTTAATCCCTGTGGGTAAAGGACAGTAAGGACTGAATCAGGCCTGAGTGGAACGAGTGGCACACAACCCAAGAAATGGCCTCACGTGTGCATGCTTTACTTGCATTGGACGTTAATTCTCAGAAGCGTAGCCAGTATATAAGCCTGAGTTCCAATGTAAGGAGGGGAAGGAAACATTGACATGCATGCGTGGATTAAACAGTTCAAAGCGAATTGTTTACTCCGCAGAACAAAATAAAAACCAAGGCCTGGTTATTGCCTCAGGTTTTGTCAATTATGCTTTGTTTTATGACAGACTAGAAGAATGGCGCCTATTAGTGGAATGACTGTTTTCTTTCAGGGAAACACATGAGTGTAATTCACGAACCACAGACAAGTTGCTCATTTCCCTTGTTCTCGTTGTCTGTTCTCCCTAAAGCCATCTCTTAACAGGCTATTGAATCTTGTTTATGAGAAGAACAGAGAGGGTTTATTATGGATTTATTGCTTTGTTGCCCATTGCCGTCGTTCAGCTTCTCCACTCGGCGCCGACTATCCGATCCGTAGAGTGAAGGCTGGACGCGGCGGTCGGCCAGCGGGTATTTTGATGCAGAGAGGGCTGGAGTAAGGGATGGCTTTACTGCTTTGGCCTTGAAACCCCTTCCCCGTTTTATTTTGGGGTGGGATCTGCTGCTCCTTATAAAGTTTCATTCTAGACCCCCGCACAGTGGAGTCCAATCAGATACGCTTTCACTTTGACACTGTCAGCCAGGAGTGCTTTATAATTACTGTAATTCTGTAGCAATACAACCAAAATACCGTAACTTATTTTTGTACTTTGTTAAATACTGCTGTAACTGCAGGGTGCTCTGTTGTTGGGGCTTATGTGCACACATCCCTGTATGTATTGCACTTGATAGTTTACTTACGAGACTTCAGAGAATAACTTGGGTCACAGTTTTCCCACTGACGTCAGTACCTCATTCTCATATAGAACTTGACCCTTTCGTTGGGGGGGGGGGGTGTTACCCTGTTGTTGTGTAGCGAGTTAAACTCAACTAAGATGGCTTAGAGAATCTGAAAAAATGACAGTAGCTTAAGGATCTCTAGGAATTGGGGGGGGGGGGGGCTCAAGGTGAAAAGCCATAGGGGCCATTCTATCATCCACATTTAGTGGCTCGTGCTCACAGAGGAGCTTTACACTGAGGGGCAGAGGGTGATTTTTTTTTTGAGGGTATTCTCTGCCGGCTGTAAACATTCTGTTATGTGTTAGATCCTAACTCAAACTTCGACTTTTATCCTGCTTCAAAAATTCCTATGCCCGTAACTCCTTTACAGGCACATCAAGTTCTAGTTAGTATCAGGTTCCTTTTATCACATCTCAGCTATTACTTTGGACTTGTGCTAGATGTTTTTCATCTGAAGACTTTTCCATGTGCATTTAATAAAAACGTTACCTAAATTAGGAAGAATGTTATCTGAGACGAAAATGCATCTTACAAAACAAGCAATTCCTTTTAGCCATGAAAGAAGTGAACTTCCAAGAAAAAGTTGGCATTTACAGTTGGTTTAAAAAAAACACACAAATTTGAGTATGATTGTCCTTGACAAAATCTGTGAGTTTGGCGAATTTGATGCACTTGTTTGAAAGCTCAGGGAAAAAAAAGTCAGAAAAGATAAGTTAATTTTCATCATTGTGGCCGCAAGTACATTTGACTGAAGTTTATGGTTAGTGAAATAAAGCAGAGTTTTTGGCAGGTCTTACACAGCTCTTCGGATTTGCGTTGACTCTTTGTATTACTTTTGTATTTCTCCAAGGGGGCTCGTAGGCCTTGTGGACCGGGGAGCTATTGAAGCATGTAACATTTGCAGCCAGGCTGCATCCGTGTTGCAGGTTTGGGTACGGGTCGAGCTTTGAAAACCTAAAAGCAGAGAAAGCCTTTCCTGGGTGGGTGTTTAACTTTCTGTTTTTGCTTGGTGCTTTCCTTAGCTTCGTGCGTAACTCTTGTTTTCCCTCTAGAACTCCAAGGTGCACATTCTTGATACTGAAAGCTTTGAGACTACATTCGGCCCCAAGTCACAGAGGAAGCGACCAAACTTATTTGCGAGTGACATGCAGTCTCTCCTAGAAAACGCGGAAATGTCCACCGAAGGCTACGACCAGGGCAAGGATCGTGACCTGGTCACTGAGGACCCTGGTGTGAGGTACAGTTTGGGGGCTCCTCTTCTCTCGTCGTTTACTCTTCCGCAACGAAACTTTATTTATTTATTTTTTAAGTTTGTTTATTTATTTTGAGACAGAAGATGCAAGCTGGGGAGGGAGAGAATCCCAGGCGGGCTCCGCACTGCCAACACAGAGGCGGATACAGGGACACGGGGCTCCAGCTCACAAGCCGTGAGATCCTGACCTGAGCCCAAATCAAGAGTCGGACGCTCAACGGACCGAGCCACCCAGGGACCCCTGCAACAAAACCTTTTTATGCCTTAATTTTTAATTTTACCTGCATGAAGCTTGGTCCTTACCTCCTAGCTAGGGAATGACCTTCTTCCCTTACACTAGAAAAATTCGTCACATTGGCGCCAGGCTGAAAATAATTTTTGAGGTGGCTTGTTTTCTCTGGGTCTCTGTTTTCATGACTGTTTTTTCTTCATAGCAGTAGATTCTGTCATAGACAATCTAGAATATATAATTTAGAATGTTAAATTAGAAATGCAACAAAAAAGAAACTAAGAACTCAGTCCCACGGACCATGTTTTTAAACTGTTAAAATTGTGACTGTTGGGGCTTCCTTAGAGAGGGACACTAGAACACCGAGGGTTCGTGGGTGGCCTTTGGATTTCCTGTGACCCTCTGAAGAGAGTTTGGAAGATGTATGTACATGCACAGAGGTGGCGGTGTTTTGTCATTTTTACATTTTCTTTGGGGAGAAGAAGGAAAAAGATTGATGCCATTTGTCATATCATATTCTCATAGGGTTCATACCCAAAGAGTGTCAAGAATCAGTCACTGTTGGATCTATTATTCTAGACCTTTTTTATACTCAGTTTTCATTTGTGAACGTAATACCTTAAGAGTAGTATTTTCTAAAACCTTTTTAATATTTATTTTTGGGAGAGAGACAGCGTGAGCGGAGGAGGGGCAGCAAGAGGAGGAGACACAGATCCAAAGCAGGTTCCAGGCTCAAAGCTGTCAGCACAGAGCCCAATGTGGGGCTCGAACTCATGGCCTGTGAGATTATGACCTGAGCTGAAGTTGGACGCTTAACTGACTGAGCCACCCGGGTGCCCCCTTAAGAGTGTATTTTAACTTGCCTTTTTTTTTTTTTAAATGTTTATTTACTTCTGAGAGAGAGAGCATGAGCAGGGCAAGGGCAGAGAGAGAGGGAGACACAGAATCCGAAGCAGGCTCCAGGCTCTGAGCTCTCAGCACAGAGTGTGATGTGGGGCTCGAACTCCTGAGTGGTGAGGTCATGACCAGAGCTGAAATCAGACACTCAACAGACTGAGCCACCCCGGATGGCCCATAAGTTTAAAGAAATTTTAAATTTATTTATCCTGATAAGTGTACTCTTGAATCCCCTTCACCTATTTCTCTCATCCCCCCTTTGGGTAACCATCAGTTCTCTTTAGTTAAGAGTCTGTTTTCTTGGTTTGTTTCTTTTTCTTTTTTCTTTGTTCATTTGTTTTGTTTCTAAATTCCACATATGAGTGAGATCACATGGTATTTGTCTTTCTCTGACCAACTTCTTTGTTTAGCATTATACTGTAGCTCCATTTTTCATTTTTTGAGGAAACTCCATACTGTTTTTTGTTTTTTAGTTTATTTGTTTTGAGAGAGAAGAGAGCACACTTGTGGGAGGGGCAGAGAGAGGGGGAAAGAGAGAGGATCCCAAGCAGGCTCTGCACTCTTGGTGCGGAGACCAACAACAGGGCTCGACCTTATGAACCGTGAGATCATGACCTGAGCCGAAATCAGGAGTCAGATGCTTAACCGCCTGAGCCACCCAGACTCCCACCTCCACACCGTTTTCCGCAGTGGCTACACCAGTTTGCATTCCCACCAGCAGTGCGCGAGCGTTCCTTTTTATCTGCATCCTTGCCAGCACTTGTTATTTCTTTATTTTAAATTTTTTATTGTGGTAAACTGGACAAAAAAGTCTATCTTTTTGGTCATTCCTAAGCCTGCAATTCAGTGGCATTAAGTACATTCACTTTGTGATTCAGCCATCCCGCTCCAGGTCCGCTTCTGGAATCCTTTGCATCATCCCAAACTGAAAGTCTTCACCTGTTAAACACTAATTTCGCCATGCTTGGTGTCTGTCATTCTCCCTCTGTCTTTCAGGAGTCTGACTCCCCATGTGAGAGGTACTTGATATTAAGTGCAGGGCTATGGTGTCTGTCCTTTCGTGGCTGGCTTGCTTCGTTACCAGAACGTCTCCAGGGTCCTTCATGTTGTAGTCTGTGTTGGTGCCTTGTTGTTTTTTGTTGCTGAATAATATTCCGTTATGTTGACAACACATTTTTGAATCCCTTCATCCGTTGATGGGCATTTGGATTGGAGATAGTCACTCTTTAAATTAAACTTGCTTTTGGTCCATCTCCGAGTAGTTTTAGTGTCCTTTTCCCGAGGCACATGGTCAGCTTTTCCCTAAACACCCTTTTACCTTTCGTAGGGCTTCAGTTGCTCACTTTGTGTTTTCTTATTTAGAAACGAAGCCCAAGAAGAGATCTATAAGAAGGGACAGTCCAAAAGAATATGGGGTGAGCTCTACAAGGTAAGACTTCTAGTTCTTTCTCGTTGAACGCTTCCTTTGGCTTTCGTGATCGTCTACTCGAAAGCTAACCTTGATGTATTGAATATCTGTCAAATAAAGCACAAACTCCGCTGCCCATCCCATTCTCATTCCCTCCCAAAAACGGGATAGACGTGCCTGTGTACATACTGCCATTCTTCCAGAAACTGCATTCTTTTTGTTACTCGTGTAATAGTAACGGCTACTGTTCAATGGCCTTAGATTTATCATACGTGGTGGAGCCGCATGCGGATTTGTAAGTTATGTAGTCCAGCCGTCTCATTCATAGGTGAGAACACACGTCTAGGAAGTCTGAATTCCTCGCCCAGCTCACTCAGCTGCTTAGTGGAAGATTCTGTATCCTGAGTCCTGGTCCGGCATCTTTAGCTGCCTGTGGTTTGTGTCCACAGGCTAGTGATCAGGCTAGCGATCAGCTTCGGTGACAGGTTCTCAAGCCCAGTCCCATGATCCAACAGGAACGTAACTGGAAAGCAGTGCCCTGAAGGCACACTAAGGTTTTTAGGTTTCTGTGAAATGCACAAAAGCTGTGGCCACAGGAGTTTTTAGAATCTAAGAAGTAGGTGATTCCGTTCAGTAATCAATAGTAGTCACGAAGTAAGATGGGGTTCACCCAGGTCTGTTTTCCTGCTTGAAATTCAACAAGTTTCTTTTACTCACGCGATGGAGAAGATTTTGAATCCTGACCCCGGGGCATCGCGGTTGGCTGCTCCTGTTTGGAAGTCCTCACTACTGCTTTCTTTTCCCTGGATTCCCTTAGATGTCATTGCTCTCCCGTTTCTCGTTTCACTAAAGCACATCGTGTTTGCCCCTTCGCATTGCAGGTGATAGATTCTTCAGATGTTGTAGTTCAAGTTCTTGATGCTAGAGATCCGATGGGTACCCGGTCCCCTCATATTGAGACTTACCTGAAGAAGGAGAAACCCTGGAAACACCTTATTTTTGTTCTTAACAAATGTGACCTCGTTCCAACCTGGGCAACAGTAAGTACAGCTGCTTATCCACAGATGGACTGCCAGGCTCCTCGGCCCGCGTAGGCCGAGTTCTCGGTAAATGCGTGGCTTCCATGGGTTGGAGGCAGTGAAGTGTTGCACTTGTTGCATAGTGGCCACGGAAGTGTTCTCACTGCGAACAAAAGTAAAACGTGTTTCGCTGATGGGGGGCAGAGTGACCTTGTGTCCCCCGATGGTTGGTGAGGGCACAGCTGCAGGACCCCCGGACAGATGATGTGGCCCCTTGGCATGGAGACAGCTGCCACAGCCACTGGCCTGTCCCACATTACGTCACATCAATTGCATTTGGTCGCAACGTAGGCATTTTTGTACTTGTTTTGTCTGTGTTCATAAGACAAAGTGTTAACTTTCATCAAAAACAAAACAAAAAACATTGTGGGCACCAGGATGGCTCAGTCACCTAAGCCTCCCACCTTGATTCAGGTCATGCTCTCACGGTCTGTGAGTTCGAGCCCTGCGTTGGGCTCTGTGCTGACGGCTCGGAGCCTGGAACCTGCTTTGGATTCTGTGTCTCCTTCTCTTGCAGCCCCTCCCCTGCTCGCTAATATAAACGTTTTTAAAAGCACACACACACACAACACTTTAAAGAATCCGAGCTCCCGTTTCCTAGGACAGCTGTGTATTTGGAATGCAGTCTGTTACTCCAGCTCTGGCTCCAGTGTTGTGAAGAAACAGGTTGCGCTTCACCCGCATCTCCTCTCCCCGCTTCAGAAACGTTGGGTCGCGGTTCTGTCCCAGGATTACCCGACACTTGCCTTCCACGCGAGTCTCACCAACCCCTTCGGCAAAGGAGCATTCATTCAGCTTCTCCGGCAGTTTGGAAAGGTACCGGGACCCGCCCCGTCTCTCTCCCGGGGGGGTGTGTGCTGCTGCAGGGCTGCTCAGGGGCTTGTCCTGGCATCGGGTGGCAGAGGGTGCCCACCTCACCTCCCCCGTCACGCTCGTGAGCACTGTGTGCTCCAGACGCGTAAAAATTCCTAGGGCCTCGGGGCCATAAGGGATTTTGGAAAATATTTTCTGGCTCCGCCACGGCCCCTGCCTTTGACCGGCATTGCCTCCCTTTCTGCTGCATCCCTGGCACCGGATGGTCTGTCTTCTCCTTGAGGACGGACCCATCCCGGGTTTGCGGGGCCTGCCGTGCCTGTCCCGCCCTCAGGCCCGTGCCCTTTGTGCCCGCTGCCTGCGGGACGTCCTGCCCATCCCTGCTCCCACGACCCTTCCTCCGGGAAGCCCTGTGGCTGGCTCACCCCAGCGGGTGTTCTCATAGCTTCCCGTGCTGTCCCTGCAGTTTGGCGTTTGTATGTTTCGGTCGTTCTGTCATGGCTCCCAGCAAAGCACACGTGTGCTCTGTCCCACTTCCCGGGGGCAGGCGTCTCCAGCTCGTGGCTGTTCGTTCCCTCGTGTGTTTCCTTCCGTGTTTTTAACATGTGCTTATCATGATTCTGTTTCGCATCTCCTCCCCCCCCCCGCCACCTGCAGTTCTAGATACTTACATGTTAAGTCTCTGTCGTGGAGGATGAGGACTGAGTTTCTTCTGGCTGCTTTTTCCGCACACATACTCAGCTCCCTCCGTCCCCCGGCGTCGCTCCGCGTCGTCTGCCGGATTGTTCTTTCCTGCGGTGTTTACGCGTTCATGACTGTAAAATGTAGTCGCCACCGATCCTCTAGCGCTGCGAATGTAATTCCTCTCGTGGAACCTTCTGTCTTCTCGGGTGTCCGTTAGCTCTGCGTCCTTGTTCACGTCACTAACGTGTCACCAGAGCCTCCGGTAGAGTGGGAACTTGGGAGTGCATTCGGCCCCTGCCTTCCCGTTGGACCGGCTGCGGAGGCTTCTTCCTGGGCTTCCCCTCACTGCCACCCTGGGCATTGGGATCAAGGGACCCGACATGGGCTCTTCCTCGGTTTTTCTTCTTTCGTGGTTTACGCCTTCCTTTTAACGGGACATACTTTCCAAAAGCTTCCTGCAAAGGAGTGCTTAGAAGGAACCTTTTTTGAAGATGTTGTGTTTCGGAAATACCTTTATTCTGTCCTCACACTGTTTCTCCTCAGAACGTTTTCTGGTGGCTTCTGTTGTGCTATTGAGCATTGGGACCATTCTGACTCCTGATCCTTTGTGGCTGGGAGCTCTTTAAAAAAAATCTCTTGTTTTAAAATTTCACAGGGATGCGCTTTAAGGGGGGTTTTACTGCTCAGTGAGGTGGGCGTTAGATGGGACTGCCTGGTGTCGTCCAGGATGATTTTTCGGAAACTCCCCTGCCCTCTACCCCATCAGCTCTTCCTTGGTTCAGGAATTTGGTTTTCTCTCTCGGTTTAATTCTTCAATTTTCTTTATTTCAGTGCCTTTGTGGTGTTTTGCTCTATTTTATGGGAAGTTTCTTTGAGTTTCTTATCTAGCTGGTCTATCACAAAATTTCTTATGCCTCTCACTTTTAAGACTCGCTCTGCCACATTCTCGTTTCACAGATGAACTATTTTCCGTTTCTGAGAATGGTAACGATGATGGTATTTTGAAGTGTTGTTCTCTCCCTATATTAACTCTGTTTCCTTCCAGTTTGTGCTTTTCTGTCTTTGGTACTAGAGTCACGCTTCAAATGTCTGGTTATTCTCTTCCTATTTAAGGGTGAACCACTGAAAAAGAGTCTCATAGGGGCTCCTGGGTGGTGCGTTCAGTCCGTGTCTGACTTGATCTCAGGTCAAGTCACGATCTCACAGTTCGTGCAGTCTAGCCTTGTGTCAGACTCTGCGGACAGTGCGGAGCCTGCTTGGGATTCTCTCCCTTTCCCTCTGCCCCTCCCCTGCTTATGCTCTTTTTCTCCCTTCCTCCCTCCCTTCTTCTCCCTCTCTCTCTCTCTCAAAATAAATTAAAATAAAAAGCCAATAGAAGTTTTATGTAGGGGGTGGACCTATTGAATGATAGACTTCCCTGTCAGATGACTAGGTAGAAACCCGATATTTTGTTGGAGGGCTCCCTAGATGTCAGTGTAAGTTTCCCCATAAAGGAGTCTTCCAGGATCCAGCTCGGGGATATATGTAAGCTTGGCTGCAGGGGTCTGGGAACTCAGTGGGAGTAGGGGCCTGAAAGTCAGTATTTAGACTTTCAGGGTATGCTTTGGTGACTCAGTTGAGTGTCAATTTCAGCTCAATTCGTGGTCTTTCAGTTTGTGGATTTGAGCCCCGTGTCCGGCTTTCTGCTGTCAGCACAGAGCCTGCTTCAGAGCCTCTGTTCCCCTCTCTCTCTGCCCCTCCCTTGCTCACGCTCTCTCCCAGAAATAAACGTTAAAAAAATACACGTACGTAAACGTTAAAATATACATACATAAATGTTAAAAATATATATATACATCTATATATACACACACATATATTAGACTTGCATCTAATCACCCTGGGAACACTTGCCTTCAGCTACTATTATCCACAAATCTAAGTTCCCATTTAGGTCTAAGAATGCAATATTTTCAGAGATGCAGGGTTTCTAGAAAGTCTCTGGTAAGGTGCTGGGGCAGAGAACCTCGGGGCCCGTGCTGGGGGAGGCCGGGTGCAGTGGGGTCACTGCTCTGCAGACTTCGCTAGTCTCGACTTTGGACCCCCTCGGTGGTAGCTGTCCTGCCCGTTCCTGCAGGTGTTTGTGACTCTTTGGCAATATTTTTGTTGGGTTTTTATTTCGTCTAACTTTGTCACTTAACTCTCATCTTTGTAGTGAGCCAGCCAAGTTAGGTACTACTTCTCAGCTGCTAGTGATTTGTTAACATTATAGGTTCATTTTTATCACCTCATCTCCAGCTCATTCTTTGGTTTTATATGCCTGGGTCTGTGGGTTCCTCCGTGTTCCTCCCCACTGCTGTCATCCTTGTGGTGGGAGCGGGGCCAGCGTGGACGTTGGGTCCGCCATCTTGAGTTAGAAGTCCGTCCTTAACTAGCCGTAGGCCATTGTTGAGCTGTCTCCTTGAGACTTTCACCCAGCGGTCTAACTTCTGAGGTTGATTTTCTTTTTCTTCTGCCACTTGTTTTTGCCAGTGCAAATACAGAATGTGCGGAGGAAAGGAGGGACGGGTCATGGGCTTGCCAGTTGGTGCATCTGCCGAGGTTGTCTTCCCTTAAGACGTTTTATCCGTGGATGATGTTCTAAATTGATGACTAACACGGTCTTTCTTCCTTTGCTCCTTGACCTACATACTTTTAACCTTAAAACATTCAAGAACAGTTGCACGTGGACGAGTTGAGGAAGTGAGTCACGTCTGATTGATTAAGAAGTGTATGTGCGCAGCCCACTCAGATGGTGTAGGTGGTGTGTGTCTGGGTTTTAGATCAAGTTCTAGTATCCCTTTTGCTTTATATTCTTCATATCAGCAAAGTAACACCACCTGTTTTTCTTAAGGGACGTTCATGACTCTGTGTGTGTGTGTGTGTGCTCTTTTTGAACAGTTGCACACTGACAAGAAGCAGATCAGCGTCGGGTTCATTGGCTACCCAAATGTCGGCAAGAGCTCTGTGATAAACACGCTGCGCTCCAAGAAAGTCTGCAGTGTGGCCCCCATTGCAGGCGAAACGAAGGTACGTCTGGCTCAGCACCTTCTTTACTTCTCCATATTTTACTTCCCTGGAGGGTGACGGTTTAGAGCATGGAGATTCCTGTCGACTCCTCTTGAATGAAGGCCACCACCGGGGGTTCGGTCTCCGTGTGATAGTTTGGAATGTTCCCAGAGTTGTGTCTTCCCGATTGGTGAGACTGAGAGTAGTCTGTGGTTCGTGTGGCGCTGTGTGCCTTTGCCACGACCTGGGAGGTGCCGTTCACGTTTAAGTCTCTCTCAAATGGTCACTCCAGCCTTTTTCTTCGGTAAACCGAACTAACCCAAGAATATTTGGTGCAAGCGTCATGAGAGAAAACTGAGCTATGGTAGATTCTGGCAGTTGAGGGACACACCCTGAAATGCTGAGTGTGTGGGGGGCGGCAGGGTTCCACTGCAGGGAGGAGAGGCCGGACAGTACTAGGCTTCCAAGAGTGCCTGAAAAGCCAGGGGAGGTTTACTGGGTTATTCCAGCGCGTGACCACGCGGGGTCCTGCCTCTGCCTTAATTTTAGACTCTGGGCTGGTGGAAGGTGTGGTTTGCCCTCCGTGGCAGTACCTCGTGCACGGCACATGCAGAGGAGACACTTTCCTTCATTACTCAGCAGGTGGCTTCTCTTTGAGCCCTGGCCCCGCCCCTTTCTAGCCTGGTGAGCATTAGAGGTTTGGGAAATCATACCCTTAACTTTTGACTCACGGAAGGCTCTGGCTTTTTACCAACCTCAGGTCTGGCAGTACATCACCTTGATGCGTCGGATATTCCTCATCGACTGTCCAGGGGTGGTGTACCCCTCCGAAGACTCAGAGACAGACATCGTGCTAAAGGGAGTGGTGAGAATTTTGGTCCTGACGGGCTCTTGGTTTGCCTTGGGGGAAGCATTCTGTGGGGAACGCTGGATACTGTTGTGTTCCTCTCATCTGGAAGGCGGTTTGGGGTCAGGCTGTCTGACCAGACCCGAGGAGCACGATGCTCTGCAAGGCGGCCTCTCCGTTCCACTGAAGCCCCTTTGAGGCGTCAGCAGAGCCGTGGGCGTATCTGGTCAATGTCATCCCACAAAAGAGTTTGTAGTTTACACACAGGATCCAAAGGGAAGCGGGGCCTGTTTATGTTTAGTGATAATTCATCTTCGAGGGTTTATGGGTTGAGTCATTTTGGAACTCAGGCATTTCCTCACTTGTTTCTGAATATGACCAAAAACTTTAAATGGTTCCACTTGACCTTAACCAGGGCTGCTGGCTATACATCCCGTGCGCATTCCTCCCCTCTTTTCTTAAACTATCGAATTCTCTGCGTGTCCTGGGATTGGCGGGCTTTTAACCATTTCTGTGAGCGAGTCCCATGAAACGGTCTAACTTTGAACTGCTTGCGGAACCACACAGTTAGTTTGTGGTGAGCTGGGATTACAGCTGAACGCTGGGCTCCCCGGCTGGGCGGTGTGTGGTGGTGTTCCTCTCCCCTGACCACGTCTGGCCACCTTGGAGACCGGCCCCTGCCAGGCTCTCCTTGTGCCGTGGTGTTGAAATCTATTTTCAGATTCTGTTGCAGATGGGAACTTCGCCACTTCCATGTAAAGCTCGTAAGCCAGAAATCTCCTCTGACCATCTAGGTTCAAGTTGAAAAGATTAAGACTCCCGAAGACCACATTGGTGCTGTGCTTGAACGGGCCAAGCCAGAATATATCTGCAAGACGTACAAGATTGATTCGTGGGAGAATGCTGAGGACTTTCTTGAGAAGCTAGCTTTGCGGACCGGAAAATTACTGAAGGTGAGTGAGGGTTTTGTGAGAATGGAGACCGGGGCACGTGGCACACATGTCTGGGGGGAGGGGGGCGTTGAGCAGTCCGAAACTTGGCAGCGGGTGGTGACAAACACCTGGGGTGCCTGTAGCGTGCCCACGCCAGCAGATGGTGTGGCTCTTTGGATTTAACAGGGAGTCTTCCTGTGACATTTCAGGGTGGAGAGCCAGACCTGCAGACTGTGGGTAAGATGGTTCTCAACGACTGGCAGAGGGGCCGGATCCCTTTCTTCGTCAAGCCACCCAACGCAGAGCCATCTCCTGAAGCCTCCCAGGTAAGAACAGCCTGGACCCGCCTTTGGAAGTCACGGTTGCTGACCTCGGCCTGGTGCCTTGATTGCCTCCCTTTGCGGACCACCTTCTTCCTGTGCAGTTTTTCCGCGCCAGTGTCTCCCATTCCATAGAGCCGTTGCTGTGACCTTGTTGGGGGGATTGGGGAGAGGCATTTGGAGACCAGGAAGTAGATGTGTGATAGGTTAAATACCAGTCTTTGGGGCCTCGAACCAAGAGGGCTGTAACTGTAAGCGCTTTTCTGGTACCGTGTCTTTCCTAATGCTCGAGGAACAGGGGCATTTCCAAGACTGACTTCACATTTGTCAGGCCCGATGGTATGCCAGGCGCTGGGAATACAGGAAGAAATAACTTCTTTGCCCCCGAGAACCTCGTAATTGGGGGGGAGGGGGGAGGAGGAAGGAGAGTGGTACAGCTTATAGTCCGGGAGAGAAGTCTTAGATTTGGGGCCTCTGGGCTGAATTGAGATGCTTCCTTTCTGTTGATCTCCCTTCCCTGGTTGTGGACCACCACGAGGCTCCATCTGTGGCCCTTTGCTTTTCCATCTCTCAGCTCTTTTTCAGAGCTCAGCCATATCATCTGAAGAGGTGGCTTTAAGTTTCACTTTGTGAAGCTTTTGTGTAGCTCTGGCTCCCTCTTCCCTGAACTCCGTTCCGAGTTTCAGTTATTAGCTAGAAACTTCCCGTTGGATGTTTTCTTTGGCATTTCAGCATCACCATACCTGAAGCTGGTATTAACTTTCTCCGTCTCCCCTTAAAGCCACCAAATGGCCACAAATACCCGGTTCTTCTCCCATCCTTTTCATGTGTTCAGTCGTTCATTCATTGATCCGTTCGTCACACAAAAGCACACGAGGATCTCGTGTGTGCTGGGCGCCCTGCTGGGCGCGGGTGGTACTACAGTGGAACTAGAGGAGGCCCTGCCCGGCGCACTTCTGTGTATGGGATGCCAGCAGGGGAGCGTGTGGTTTTTTCTGATACCAAATGCATTTCATGTGTCCACACCAGTTCAGTTCTCTGACACCCGCTGGCTGTCCAGTAATTCAGTTCTGACACTGTCTCCGAGAGTTAGCACAGGGCCACAGGTTTAGGGGTCAGCCCCACAAGGTGGCCCCTGCTTCAGAGGCCCACTGCAGATGGGGTTCCCAAGCTACCCACGCTTCTGTGCAGCCAGCTACAAATTCAGGGGTTCTCAGGTTTGATAATTTGCTGAAACAACTCACAGAATTCAGAAAAGGGGTTGCTTACGATGGCCAGTTTATTGTAGAGGATACAGCTCAGGAACAGGCAAATGGAAGAGATGCTCAGGGCCAGGAATGGCGTTGTGGGTGGCATGGGGTTCCCGTGCCCGTTCTGGGCAAGGTGCCCTCCCAGCATATCAGTTCATTCAGCGCGGAAGCTCCCCAGACCCCATCCTTCAGGGTGTTTCTAGGAGGTTCTGTTACATAGGCCTGATTGACTAAAGTATTGGCCATCGGTGATCAAACTCCGTTTCCAGTTGACTCATCAAGGGCTTGGTCCTTCTGGTGACCAGCCCCCATTGTGAAGCAGGGCCCCCCCATGAGCATCTCATTAGCATAAACTCTGGGATGGTGGAAAGGGGCTTGTTACGAATAACAAAAGACACCCTTCTTCATCCAGGGTGTTACTACGCTACAGGGACAGATAGTGAACAGCTACGTGTATAAAGTCGGCACACACTGATGACCGTGAGGAGGACAAATCCAGGGAAGCGGGTTTGGGAGAAGAAGGAGTGTTCTTGTATGTAGGGTGGGGGTGGCCTCTGAGGAAGTGGCGTTTAGGCGGAGCCCTTAATGGTATGAGGCAGGAGCCCTGCGGGTGTCTTGGAGGGGCTGCTCCACACCCTGAGCACCTGAGGGAGCATGTGTGCCTCGGTCACAGTGGTCACAGTGCAGTCACAGTGCCACGAGGTCCGTGGGGCTGGGGCGGGACCCCTGCAGGCATGGGCAGGGTGACATGGCGGGAAGCCCCTGGGGCGGTGCGGTTGGTCTTGTGTTCACCTGCTGCTGGATGTGAGGAAGGAGGGTGTTGGCAGGGTCTGTGGTGACCCCGTGTGCACCCAGTGGGACTACCTTGAATTCTTCCTCTGTGTCTGGTCATTGAGTGTCCCCCGGTCTATGATTCTCTTCTTTTTCTCTTTTTGGTAGTGGCTGACACTCCTTCAGAATGTAAAAGCTAGAAACTTAGCTTAGGAAAAGGGTATAAAAACGTACCTACAGGGGCGCCTGGGTGGCTCAGTCGGTTGAGCATCTGGCTGGCTCTTGTCATGATCTCACAAGTTCGTGGTTCGAGCCCCACATTGGGCTCTGTGCTGACAGCTGGCTCAGAGCCTGGAGCCTGTTTCAGATTCTGTGTCTCCCTCTCTCTCTGACCCTCCCCTGCTCATGCTGTCTCTCTCTCTCTCTCTCTTAGAAATAAAACATTTTAAAAAAAAAAGTACCTACAAACTCAGATTTCCTGAGTTACTTGGATTCCTGATTTGTTTAGCGCTTTGTGTAGCAAAATCACTAAAGTTTGATGAGTCTCTGTTGCAAGGTTAAAACGGTACTACAGACACGAAGCGCTGGGTCAGAACCTGGCACGTGCTTCTCCTTCACTGTTGATTCCCTCAGGCAGCCGTGTCCCCCACCTCGGCTCCTCTTGGTCACACTGTTCTCCAGGGGCCTGTCCCGCGCATGCCGAGCAGCACCCTGCTTTCACTCTCGGGCAGTTCTGTGCGCCCCTCTGGTGCGTGCTGACCTCGGCACCCACGTTCGTTGCCATCCTCAAGTGGGGCGGAGGGAGTTGCACACTCTGTGGGGAATGGCTGGTGGTGTAAGTGGTTACACACCCACAGTAGGCTCTCCCTTGGGCACCGCAGCTGAGTCCCTCTGGCCCTTTAGCACCGGCTTCTGGGCTTAACGCACCATAGCTCATGGTAGATGAACGACATGACTCCACTGTGGGGTTTTCAGCACTTTCCTTAGTCCGGGGCAGAGGACGCCCTCATTTGAGAGCCAGGTGTGAGTCCAGAAGTGGTGTGCGTTTTCTGACTGCGTCTCTCTCCCCACCCGCACCCCTTTTTTGGCCTGGACAGCTCCCATCCTCCTCGTCTTTGGAAGTCGCCATGGAAACAAGCCAGAAGAACCCAGAAGAGGAGATCACGGCAACTGTAGGTGAAGCGTCGGAGCCTGTCACCGAGAAGGAAGAAGGGCACAGTCCCTGTGGCGCTGACTCAGAAATGCAGCAGATCCTGGCACGAGTCCGGCAGAACTTCGGCAAGATCAATGTCGTGCCTCAGTTTTCCGGGGATGACCTGGTCCCTGTGGAGATGTCGGATATTGATGAAGAGCCTGAGAGCTTTTCTGAAGAGGAGGAGGAGGAGCAGGAGCTACCAGGAGACGAAGAGGAGTCCTGCCCAGAGTCCCAGGAGGAACACACGGAGAGCGACACCAAGGCAGTTATTAAAGCCTTGGATGAGAAGATCGCTAAATACCAGAAATTTTTAAACAAGGCCAAAGCTAAGAAGTTCTCAGCAGTCAGGTAGCATCCTCGTCTTCTCGTGAACCGTGGGTCGCTCGTTCCTTTCCCCAGAACTTGCCATGAATATGGGAGCCGTATCTCTTAGGGGGTGAAAGGAAGTTACTGCCGTTTTTTTTTTTTTTTTTAAAGCGAACTGTAAATTTTTAACATGCAGCTCCCTGAAGCGTGAGAAGCTTTAGTTCAGTCTCTGGCAAAGGCCCAGGGGCTTTGGACAGGCTGGGGGTGTCAGCATGGAAGTCTGCAGGGTCACAGTCTCCAGGTAGACACGTGGTTTGGGCACCCAAGGGGGCTGACGGGCTCCTTTGTTCCCTTGCTTTTCTGTTTCAGAATATCCAGGGGACTAAGCGAAAAAGTTTTTGCAAAATCTGAAGAGCAAGGAGCAGCTGAAGAAGTTGTGGAAGATACAGGTAAATTAGTTGAACCACTTACATGCGATTTGCATCTTTAGAACTGTGGGAACTGTGTTCTCTCCTGTACCGTCACCCACACAGGCATCTGCCACAACTGGCACCGTGTACTGTTTATCATACAGGTTGGACTCTTCACTTATCATTCTGCACGTTTCTGGGGAGTAATCCAGGAAGCTTCCTGTAAAAAGAGTACTTTAGTAACCTTATAATCTAGGGGTGGCTCAGCAGATTTTTGGGGTGGGGACGGGGCGGGAGGGAGGTGGGATGGGTCCGGTATGATTTCTTTACTCCGTTGGACTCACAGCTTTTACGTCACGAGTGTGTTTCCCTGACATAAATGCAAATCCTGCCATGGCCTGCAGGGGCCTCCCGGCCTCGCCCCACGTTACTCTGTGCTGTGCCCACCCGTCCTCCGTGCGCACTGGCCTCCTTCCTGCAGCGCGTCAAGCTCATTCCCACCTTGGGATTCACAGACACATTTTGAATAGAAAATTCCTGTTTGTTTTCTATGTGCTCGTGTGTTGTTTCCAGCACCTACCAAAAAGGGAAGGAAGAGGAAGGCACAGAGGGAAGAGGACCGTTCAGATAAAAGTCGCAGGATGCTTACGTCTAAGGAAGTACGTGGTTTTGGTCTTGGTTTTGGTCTTAAACTTCACCCAGGTCTAGAAAGTAGAGAGGAGAAATCCATTTCCGGAGACACGCTTTCCAAAACTGAGGGTCTGGAGTTGAATTCTAGGAACCCCAGGCCCAGTGGCCTCGTTGAGGGTAGTGAGACGGGATCAGTTGGCCCACTGGATGAACATCCTCGAGTGCATGTCTTAAGTTTTAGGAGCTTTCATCGCTTCCCTCAAATGTGGACTGTCCTCTAGAAAATCCGCTGGGCTTCTGTGGCCCATTGGTTTTCTGTGACGAACAGAGCTGTTCAGGTGGACAGACCCCTGCCCTCTGGGAAGCTGAGCCTAGTACCTGGCTCTGCAGAGCTGGGGCGGGCCTTCCTGGCAAGGGAAGAGCTTATTCCTAGAAGTGTTCACCATTAGACCAGAGGCCACTGGCCGGGAGTGCAGTAGGACAGGGTCCAGCGTGGATGGCCGAACGATGTAGAGGTGTCACGGGTTACATGGAAAGGCACCCTTGGGTCTGGGAGGGGAGGCCTCCCTTGTTAGCGCTGCTTTGGTGAGTTGGGAGAGCAGCCTAGGAATGGAGCACAGAGTAGCAGAGGGGACCTGTTCTGTGATTTCTCCGTGACTGACTGGTTTGTCTTTTTTGCCATTTTTTACAGCGGAGGCGGGCAGCCCGGCAGCAGCAGTCTAGGAAAGTAGGTGTCCGCTACTATGAAACCCACAACGTGAAGAATAGGAACAGGAACAAAAAGAAGACCAGTGACTCAGAGGGACAGAAACACAGGCACAAAAAATTCAAGCACAAGCAGTGACATTTTAAAAGTTTATTAAATTATATAGAAACAGGCCATTAGAAACCGTGTTCATTTTCTTCATGCCCGGTTGGCATTTCTTAGGCCACAGTGCTTTTGTTCTGAGGTTTGACGGTTGAAGTGGTCACCAGTGTTAGGGAAGATGGTCTGCCCGCCCCCAGGGCTTTCCGTGACGGGGCGCCTGGCGTGCCTTGGTTCCCCCGGAGCGCAGCCATGTCCTGCACGCGTCTGGCGGAGGCAGAGGTGAGGTCTACAGCGTGGGAAGAGCGGCCTCTCTCTTGTACTCGCAGTTGGCAGTTTGAAATAGAAGCGTAAACACAAGAAAATCTCAAGGATGTAGTGTACGCGGTCTGGGCTTTAAAATACGAAGGGAAAGTGATAGCTACTTCGGTTGTCCCTCGCCGAGTCTGTTAGCTGGACACTGGGCGTGTGTGCGTTACGCCCCAGGAGTCCTGGAACGAGCACACCTCCGTGAGCAGTTCTTTCTCGCGACAGTGACAGCCCAGATGGGCCATTGCGGTGGGGTCTTAAGAGTCCCTCAGGGCACCTGGAGGAGGGTAAAAGCTGTGACTTCAGATCTGAGATTAGAGCCGCATGGGGCACGTTTGACTGGGAACACAGCTCTTCCCGTAGGACCGCGATTTTTCCGGGGAGCCTTGGACCCTTAACTGGGATGACATCCGGTCAGAGCTCCGCTACGGAGTCCTTGGCGCCCCCTCGGGATTACAGCTTGGGGCATTCCGACCGAGGGGACGTGTCGGGGCCGTACGTGTGCTCCTCATGCAGTCTGAATGAGCGGAGGAGTCACCTTCCTACGCTAGCCCGCCCCGGACTGCCCTCAATTCAAGATGTGTTGCACTGACTTCCTCTTCTGGGTCTATGAAACTGGAAGAGCCCTGGGCCTCCAAACTCTGGGTTTAACTTAAGAGGAATAAAATGCGGTCTACAGGCCAGAGCCTAATCATTAATAATTAGAGCTGCGTGTGAGGTCTGGGCACCTCTCCAGTTGTGAAACACAGCTAGTTAGAGGGGTGTAGGGTCAGGGGTAGATTTTCTGCAAAATAAGATGAACAAACCAAATCAGCAGTGGGCAAGGGCCGAGGTGCAGGCAGCTCACCGGGGACTTTGTGACTTGTATTTCTTCCTGGCAAACATCTACTTTCTCAAGAGCCGTGGGTTTGACTCTGCCATTGGCGCCTCACCGGGTCAAACTGGGGGAGTGGGCGTGGTGGATTAGGCAAGGAGAAAATGGCCTCGTATAAACCCCCAGACTCCCAAAATGAGCCACTAGAACTGCACTGAGGTAGGGATGGCCAAAGACATCAAGTAAGGGAAAGACAGGCCCCAGCAGCCCGAGTTCAGATACAGGATGAATTGTAGACCAGGAACAGGACAGGGAGGCAGCTTGGTTTGGCTAGAAGTACGTGCCAGCATGGAGAGTGGTTGTGAGGGGGCCGCTGTTTCACCTGCGAGGGACAGGGCAGAAAGTCTTCTTGAGTTGGCAGATCCCAAGGATGGCCACGCACAGAGACTGTCCCACCTTCCACTGCCCAGCCGAGAGCCTGGCCACCAGACTTAGGTGTTCAGGACACTGGGCAACGACATGTGAGTTCTGACAAGTATGTGGGTGGTGATCAGAGGAGGGTATGGCTTGTTCACTCAGGAGACTAGCTTTTTTTTTTATTACAACGGGCTTACGATGGGGTAGCAGTGCTTGCCGAGACCCATATGGAAATTATCACTTCTTTGGTGCAATAATGCCTTCCAGTTGGGCCTGAAAAACAAAAACAACCTCCATTAATATGTGAAGCTTGCAGCCTAACAGATAGCTAAGAGGCGATAAAAGGCCCTGGGAAGAAGCATCCGGCGCTGCCCCTCCAAGCGTTTCTCCCTTCGTTCCCAGCTCCATATTTTCTAGATTAGCTGATTTCTGGCTTGGTGTACAGTTTGCGACATTAGGAGAAACCAGAGATGTCCCGGTTTCCATACAATAACGGCTCCATGGATCATATAAAGCACCGACAAGGAAATTAAATAAAAGTTGTTGAAAGCGTGGTTTTTCATGGCTCAGATTTCAGGCCCGAAATGCTAAGTTAAACATTTGGCTCCCTGGTGTGGGATCCTGGGAGCTCTTGTGGTGGGTCAAGAGGTTTGGGAAACGGCAATCTTTCAGCCACTGAGACAACTTGACACCCAATTAGAGAAAATTGCTCCCGGTAAGTAGCGAGCTGTCCATCTTGTATGTAAAGCTTAAGACCCTTGGGAGTTATTTACTCTGCTCCTCCGGCAGCCGGTAAAATAATTTACTATCACGGTGTGTGGACAGATCTTTAAGTAGGTCTATCCTGGGGCCTGCAAACACTGCTTTATTTGCAGTGCAGCTTGGAGCCAATAAAAATAACTCACTTCTAAAGAGTCCTTCACCCAGGGGATGACAAGGTTGCTTGTAAATGTTAGAAAGATGCCAAGGTATTCTGCTGTGTTCTTGCTGCGCATACTGGAGGAGCTGAAGGCCTCAGGCTTATGATAAAGGAACGAGGCAGATACGGCACGCAGCCTCAGAGGCTGCTAAGTAACCAGACGCGTGGCCGGCTGTGAAGTTTCTAGCTTCTCGTTGTGAGACTCAGCAACCAGAGAACCTGTCGTGCACTAGCAGTTAAGACAAGCCCCTCTTTATCTCAAACGCGTGTCCTTGGTGTAGCCCCAGGAAGCCTGCCAGTGGCAAGAAGGTAAGCTTTCCCTGAGACTAGAGAGGAGAGGGAGCTACATGCAGGGGCCCCTGTGGTCGGGGCCGAGGGAGACGGCCACTCAACAACAGGTCCTCCGTCTAGCACAGTGGTTCGCAAGCAGGCAAGCAGCAGAATCGCCTGCGGACCTTGTTAGGCGGTTGGGCCCCTGTGCCTCGGGGGGGTGGGGGGAGGGCTCCGGGCGGGAAGGCACCCCCACGAAAGCCTGCTGAAGAGACCCAGCCCACTCCAGGAAGGCTCCAGAATACCAGCCGTGATGGGGGAGAAGTTCCACTCTGCCATATCCATCTCTCCTGGCTGATGGGCAACTTCCCTCCAAGGGAAACAAAACCGTCCACTTGGAGGGGGTGGCGAGCCAGACTGAGGGGTGGTGGGAATTCAGAGCCCCCACCCCCGCCCGAGGCAGATGGGTAGAGAGTCTGTGTAATGAACCCTTCCCCCCGACCCCCCAGCTCTCTTTACTCTTTGGCAGCACATGGGGACAAGTATTTGGAATCCTCTGAAAGACACGGAGCCGGGGCCTGGCCCACAGGGCCGGGGTGGTGGCGGGCAGGAGCCCCTGCACCTGGGCCTGTGCAGGGACTTACCTTCAGCTGCTGATTTGTCCGCTTGAGGAACTGAATCTCCTCATTGTGCTTCTTCTCCTCCACCTGTCTCCTCTCGGTCTCCCGCTTCTCGGTGGCCTCGCATTTGGCCTTCTGTTCGTTCACTTGCCTCTCCAGATCTCTCTTTTCCGTTTCCAATTCTGCAATCTGAGGACAGACCCTCCCGTCATCCTGGGACGTCGCCAAGAAGACGGGGTGTTGTGAGTGCCGGGGCGGAGGGGACCCGGGACACAGTGTCCAACCTGAGCCATTGCCTGGGTCTGTGCTGCCACCCAGTGGGAGGCTGGTGACTGGCACAGCCTAGATAAACAGCCGGCTCTGCCAGGACCAGGCTGAACCCGGGGGTCCCCGCGGAGGGGATTGTCAAGGCACCCTTGGCGGTCAGAATTTCATTTGGAATGACAAGCATGTGGCCCTGTGATGGACAGAAGAGTCACAGAGGGCTGAAGCCCTGTCGCCAACCCCACTCACTTTCCTCTCCATGTCTGACTTCCCCTGTTCGGCCTGCAGCGCCTTCCTCATGCCGAAGGCCACGCTGCTCTCATACAAGGTCTGGTAGGCAGCGATGGTCATGCGGATCTCATCCCGGACTCGCAGCAACAGCAGTCCCCTCTCCGCACAGTTGATGGTGACCTCCCGGATCAGCTCGTCTAACAAAGCACACGCACAGCGAGGTCAGGAGGCAGGTAGTGCGGGGGGGGGGGGGGGGGGGGGGGGGGGGGGGGGGGGGGGGGGGGGGGGGGGGAGCTGCATCATGTCCCTGGCTAACCACCCTGCCTCCCCAGGGAGGGTGCTAGTGTGTGTCCTCCTCACCTGGAGCCCTGCCACACCACCAGTGCCCTGAACTTGGCACTTGGGACTACAAGCAGTCGGCCTGTAGCCCCCAGGGTTGTCTGCAGCCGTGAGGCCCTTCTCCTCCACCCTCAGACAAAACCGCCAGGGAACTAGTCATAGAAATGGGACTTTTCAGGGGCACCTGGGTGGCTCAGTCGGTTAAGCATCCGACTTTGGCTCAGGTCATGATCTCACGGTCTGTGAGTTCGAGCCCCACATCAGACTCTGTGCTGACCACTCGGAGCCTGCAGTCTGCTTCAGATTCTGTGTCTCCTTCTCTCTCGCTCTCTCTCTCTCTCTGCCCCCCCTCCCCTTGTGCTCTCTCAAAATAAATAAATGTAAAAAATATACAAAAAAAGAAATTGAACTTTTCAGTCTGAAGGTGATGACTGCCTGATTTTTATTTACTTAGTTTTTCAACTTTTTAAAAATGTTTTTATTCATTTTTGAGAGAGGGAGACACACAATCAGAAGCAGGCTCCAGGCTCTGAGCTGTCAGCACAGAGCCCGTCGCAAGGCTCAAACTCACGAGCTATGGAAACATGACCTGAGCCAAGGTCGGACGCTTAACTGACTGAGCCACCCAAGTGCCCCTATTTTTTTTTTTAATGTTTATTTTGGAAGAGGGGCAGAGAGAGGGAGAGAGAGAATCACGTGCTGACAGTGCGGAGCCTGACACGGGGCTCGAGCCCATGAACCGTGAGATCATGACCTTGTGAGTTGGACCTCAAGACTTGGACACTCAACTGACTGAGCCACCCAGGCGCCCCATGATGTGTGCTTTAGAGCAGCAGGGAAATCCGTGTGCCCCTTTAGCTGGATGGGCTTAGGGCTGGAAACAGTAGGATCTTGAGCTTGCCCACCGGTCTCTTCCATAAATGCTGACCTGGGGAGCACACCCTAATCATACTCAGACTGAAGGGGGCCTATAGCCCCTGCCTCAGGGTTTGGAGGCGTTCTGAATGTCAGAGTCCACAAGCCCAGTGAGTTTGGGCTGGGGGATAGCCATCTGACACTACCGCTTAAATCTGTTGTGACTGTCAGTTAACATTCAGTGACCCTGAAATATTTTTCTAGACCCCGGGCTGAAGGTTGATGGATGGATATAAACATAACACACTAATTGTTCTGATTAAAAGAATCAACATATGCTTATTATAAAAACCTTTGAAAAGAAGACGACTTAGGACTGAACTGCTCATCTGATCTCCAAACATTTGCTAAGAGGTTAGGAGCCAGGGTGTCAGGCTAGCGGGCAAATAACAGGAAGAAGGCGCATCCTGGGTGGGGCAGGTAGGGGAACACGAGGCGATTCCAGGACGGGGTGGGCTTTCAGTTCAGGGACACCCGGGGCTTGGGTTTGTGCTCAAGGGGAAGGGGAAGAGGTGGTCGAGTCCAGTGTACCCGCCCCCAACCTCCCCCCTGCGCCACGCCACTCACCAAAACACTGCGAGTACAGCTCCCTGCGCACGGGGCAGATGCCGGTCTCCCTGGCCTGCCGCTGCTGCAGCTTCAGGTCCAGCTGCTCCTGCAGGTGCACCACGTCCATCCTGGTGCTGGGGGTGCTGGACACCTGCTGGATCCACAGCTGCGTGTCCTCCACCCACTCCCTGTGGCACAAACACAGCCAGGCTGAGCAAACCCATCCACTAGAGGGTCTGCAGGACGGGGGCAGAGAAGGCCCTCTGAGCCCTCTGCCCGGGCGAGCGGGAGCGAGGGGCAGCTGTCACCAGCCCGCCAGACTTCTCCATCCCTCTCTCTTCCTTGAGGAGCGTACGGCTCCAGAGCCACACCCACTAAGCCACTTCCACAGGGCCCCTACCTGTGGGCAATGTCTACCCTCCTACGTCTCTCCGGGAAAACATCACCCGTGTTCCAGATCTTACCCTCCTAGTGGGTTGAGGACCGATTCATGGGCATTGCTGCCTGATTGGGACAGAGGCCCAGAGAGAACTCCCCACTGTTTCGTGGGGTGGGAGGCACAGGGCACTATGAACCTTGTGCCAGCCAGAAAGGGGCAAATGTGTGCAGGTTCCCGAAGGCGTAGTAGACCACCATAGTAGACCTTGTGTCAGAGGCGTCGCCGGAACCACGAGGAGGGAGCCTGAAGGTAGAATCACCATGGGGAGAGGATTTCCATTTATTGATGGGAGAGAACCGCCTGGAAAATCATCCCTCCCTTCTTTGACTTCCCCATCTCAGACGAGGCTACGGTCTCTCTTTACATCGCAGCCTTAGAAAGTGTGTTGTCAACTGATTACATCAAAATCGTCTACCAAGCATGTCAGCTAGCGATCAGTGTGGCGGGAGAAGGAAGAAGCAGGGTAAGGGGATGGTTAAGAAGGGAGAAGGTGCTCTTTTATAAGGGCCCTCAAGGAAGGCCCCCTCGAGGAAATCCCATTTGAGCAAGACCTGAGCAAAGAGACAAAGGGAAGGAGGTGGACATCAGGGGAAGAGTATCCTTGGCAGTAAGAACAGCACCTGTCAAGGCCCTGAGGTGGAAGGGTGATGGAAATGTTTCAGAATCAGCGAGCAGATGCCCCTGTCTTTGTGCGTCAGCACACTGAACAAGGAGAATAGCAGGAGACAAGATCATGGATAGATGAGGGACCAGATCATGACAGGTCTTCCGGGTCATTGTCACGACTTTGGATTTTAGTCTGAGTCACACGGGAAACCAGCAAAGAGTTCCTGGCAGAAGACTGGCACGAGCTGGCTGGTGATGTCGGGGCTGTTTGGAGGACACATCGTAGGGACAAAGAGTGGAGGCAAGGTTTTCAGATCGGAGACCACTATAGGTGACAAACAGTGGCTAGGAACAAGATGGTGGAAACAGAGGTGGTGGAAAGCGGTTGGATCTGGGATTTAAAGGTGGAGCCAAAACAATGAGATGAAGGACAGGACATGTGATGTGAGAGACCAAAAGGAATGCAGGGTGGCCTGAGCCACTAGCAGAGAGAAGACTGGGGATGAGTAGGTGGGGAGAGGGGGGCATTGTGATTTAGTTTGGACATGCTGAGTTTGAGATGTCTATGAGACACTTTCATGAAGATAATGAGGAAGCGGTAGAATATATGGGTCTGGAGTTTAGAGGAAAGGACAGGGCTGGGAATAACACATTTGGGAGCCATCAGCGTATAGATGGCATTTAAAGCCACGAGCTTGGGTTAGAGCCCTCAGGAACTGAAGATGGCGGAGAAGAGCTCTCCTCCATCCTCCCAGGATCCAGCCTGGGGTCTGCAAGCTCTAGGAGTTCTGGGATCCGGGCCAGGAACAGAGACAGGGGTGCCTCTTCCTACATTCTGGAATGCTAGAATGCAAAGCCTGGGCTTTCTCTCAGCCACGGCTCCTACTTTTTTACCTTGGGGGCAGAATGGCATTCAAGATTTCTTCTGCCTGCTTCGTAGGATCTGCGACACAGGAAGTTGAGGGGAGCTTGGTTTTGGGTGGCTGGGGGACTGGACCGGAGGGTCCAGGCTGCTGGGGGCTGACTTTCAGCGGCCGTGCCTGGGAAGAAGAGACAAGTTAGGGCAGGAGGTCATTCAGACACTGAACTCCACACATCCAAGCCCGCGGGGTTGCTCCAAGTCTTAACACCCCTCCCCTCTTCCCAGCTCACTTTCCCCATCTCTCCTCTGGGCAGAAATTATGTCTCAGCTGAAGGAAGCCATGAAGAGTCTTTGGTCCACCCTCACCCAAGGCCTGTATCTCCCGGAACCGATGTTTCTGGCAAGGGTGCTCAGCCTTCTGCTTTCCCGCCTCTAGTGATGGAGTGGTCATTACCAGATCTATTCTTGGACCAGGCTACTTAAGAAAAAAGGTGAGCTCCGTCCATCTCTGTGACTTCCTTTCTCATCCTAAATTGGCCCTCTGGGGTCACCCATATGGGCTTCTTGTGCCGCGCTCCCATCTTCCTTCTCCCATTCCAATTCCCTTTGCTCCCAGTTGCTGCAGCCCTTGTCCCTCGGGAGTCCCCATCCTCAACGCCGGGATCTTTCTCCATCCTAGCTTCCAGACTCCCCCGCCTCCCGAGACCTCCTTCTTACTTTGGGGCTCCGCTTCTCCGTATTTCGGCTCACCAACACCGGGGTGTCATACTTGAGCAGAGAGTCCGCAGGGGGGATCATGGCGGCGACGGGGGGGGGGGTAGTAGTCCAGCGGCAGCCCCTCAAGTGTGCGCCTTGTTTGCCGTCTCTATGGAAACCTCTTCTCCCGGCCCCATGGTCTGGGCGGGGCTTCGGAGTAGGGCGGGGCCAGCAGCGCGCGAGTTTCCGTGCAGCCTTCCGGAAAAGTTCCCCTTGGGCTTAGTTTATCAGGCCTCCTGCTCACCGGGTCGCCTTGATACTCTTGGAAGCAGGCAGAACAGGAGTTCGAGTCCCTGCGCTTCATCTTTCTCTCAATTTGAATGAGGTGGCAGGTCACGCTCGCAGTCCCCAGTTTTGTCACCTGCAAAATGGGAGTCATGTGACTCCTCAGGGAAGAGTTCAGAAGATTCCCAGAGGAGGCCACCCGGAGTGCCCAAGTTTTAAAAAGTATTTGTTCTGGGGGACGCTGGGCTGGCTCGTGGAGGGGGTGGAACATGTGACTCTTTATCTCCGGGTTGTGAGTTCGAGCCCCACCATTGGGTGTAGAGATTACTTGAAAATAGAGATAAGTATTTGTTTTTAATTAAATGGAGAAATGACAACGTAACAAAGTTCAAGAACAGAGGGGTAAATACTAATGATTTGCCCACTGGCAAATGTGGTTGCATTTCCTTCTCTTAGTTTGTATTTCCAAAGGCAAATGTAATCTCAGTTTGCGCACATTTTTTTTATCCCGCTTCATTCGTTGAACAAGTCAGGGATTCCTCTGTCACAGTGTAAAAAGCATTGCGAATGGCGACAGGTCACCGATCAACTGGATAAAAAGTTTCCTCCCGGAGGGCATTCAGATTGCCTCCGTGTTTAGTAATTACGAATAACGCTGAGACAAACAGCTTCGAGAGTCGCTTTTCTCCAGAAGTTTGCTTTTGACACTTAAAACTCCCGCCAACAGGGCCGGGTCCCTACAGCCCCGCCCCCCGAAGAGTCGTGATCACGTGCTTAGCTCTCCGCCGCGAGGGTTTCTGGGAGAGCACGGACCCGGAAGCGGAAGTCCTGGGGGGGTCATCCGTCATTTCCTTTAGTGAGAGGAGCGCAACGGATCTGTTTTTCCTTCGCTCGGCTGAGCTCTCAGCATGAAGGAGGTAAAGAGCGAGCGGGAGCGAGGGAGCCGACGGAGGCACCGCGACGAGGACGTGGTGGCGGCGGCGGCAGTGGTGGTGAAGGTGAAGCAGGAGCGGCTCAGCCCGGAAGCCGCGCCTCCCGCCCACCGCCGCCCAGATTCCTCGGGCGGTAGCGCGTCCCCGCCGACCGGCGAGCCGGGCCGCCCTGGTCACCGAGGGAACCGAGCCCGAGGAGGTAGCCGGTAAGTGAGAAAGCTCCCGGGATGGACTTGGGTCGGGCTTATTGAGAAGGGACAGGGCTAGCGTCAGAAGCACACCTTGAATGCCGAGCGCAGGAGCTTGGATTTAACCTTAAGGTTGGTGGAAGTGTCCCGGTCGTGCTTCTGCTAAAGAATGTTTACTCCGGTACGTGTCCCTTGTGTTAAGCGCCCGATGCCTAATGGGCAGATCCCCGTCCCCCCTTCATCTCTGTGCCCAGCACGTGGCCGAGAACGGCCCAGCAGATAGCACTGATCGAGTTGAAATAAAAGATTTTCCCCATCTGCCTACAAATGGAGTGCTGTCGTTGGCTTTCCAGTGATCGGCCTCCATATGTTTCCCGTCGAGCGCCTAGGCGATCTACCTAGTAGAGATTTGGGAGAAAAAGTGTCTCTTGATAGACCCGTTAATTGATTCCTTCAACATAGTTTTACTGCATGGTGAAGACTGTCCTGGGTGCTGGGGCCTCAAAGGTGAACGCGATGGGCAGTCTTTGCCCTCTCAAAATTGATATGCTGTTGCCTTGAAACAAAAAAAAAAAAAAAAAAAAAAAAACCAACCAAGCAAATAAAAGAAAATAGTGTCAGGAGTATTAGGAAGAGGTTAAAACAGGAACGGGATAGAAATTGAAGGGAAGTGAGAGAAGGGCTCCCTGAAAAGGTGCCCTTTGAGTGGACACCGGAATAAGAATAGTCTAGCCTTGTAAAGATCCAGGCTGAGGAAGCAATAGGTGCAGAGAACCTGAAGCAGAATTAATGTGATTGTTCTAGAAATGGAAAGAACAACAACTGTCTAGAGATTAAGGAGAGTGTGGTAGGAGGGAGGTGGGAGAGGGAAGAGATAGAGGATGCTGATGGATTGAGGTGATTGGTGGGGGGAGGGGGCTGTCAGAGGTGAGAGAAAAGAGAGTCAGGGGGTGTCTTCTGGGTTTGTGGCTTGAGGAACAAGGTGGATGGCGGTGCGAGTTACTGAGATGGCAGAGGCTGAGGGAGGAAAGTGTTGTGAAGGGCTGGGAGGCAAGGGCTGTGCTCTGTGAGAAGGTGCAGCCGTGATTGTGGGTCTGGAACTCCAGGAAGAGGTCAAGGCCAGGAGAGCGAAGCCCCTGCCTCCTTCCGGGCGAAAAGCAGAGACTGTCACAGATGTGCTGTTTGTGTTGATTACTTGAAGTGAATTTGTACGGGGGAAGGGAAATTGAGATAAAACCCTGTGTGTACCATGCTCTGAAAAGGTCCCCAGCCAAAAAGAAAAACAAGTCCTCAGGGAGAAGAAGCAAGTCTCCACGAAGTAAGAGAAGCCGGAGCCCTCACCACTCAACAGTCAAGGTGAAGCAGGTAAGTGAATTGAGCTGTTTTCATACCAGGTCCAGATCTAGGACTCTGCCCGGCGTAACTAAAGAGTGTTTGGTGTGTGTGTGTGTGTACCTGTGCTGGTGATGGGCTTTTCTAGAAACTGGAGTTTTGTTTTCGTTTTCTGCTTTTTTTGTTCAACTAAACTTTTTATGATGAGATCCTTATTGATTTACGTTCAGTTGTTAAAAAGGCCTTTACCCCGTTACTCACGCGGTGACACCTTCCAGAATTCTAGTACAGTATCACCCGGAATATTCCAGTACAGTATCATCCTGTTGTCCTTTTATAGTCTGTCCGTCCCCCCACCGTCCCTCCCACCCTTAGCCCTCAGCCCTGGCAGCTTCTCTGTTCTCGGCTTCTCTCTAACGTTGTCACTTCAAGAACGTTATGTAAATAGAATCTACCCCAAACTTTCAGGGATTGGCTTTTTTCCCCTCAGCACAGTTCTTTGGCTGTTTGTTCAGGTTGTTGTATCTCTCGGTAGGTCATTCTTTTTTATTGCTCAGTGACATTCAGTGGTGTGGATTGAACCATTTGCCCGACAAAGAATGTCGGGGTTGTTTGCGGGTGGGCCTGTTCTGTCTAAGGCTGCTATGGAACATTTGGGTGTGGGTTTCTGTGTGGCCCTGCCTTCATCTCTGGGGTGGATGCCTGGCAGTGTGGTTGTTTGAAGAGAAGACAGTGGCCAAACCGTGTTCCCGAGCGGCTGCATGGGTTTGCTAGGCCCTCCGTAATAATAAGCACCACAGTCTGGGCACCGTGAGCAACAGAAACTCATTTTCTCACAGCTCTGGAGGCTCAGAGTCCAAGTTCAAGGTATCAGCAGGTTTGCTTTCTCCAGAGGCCTCTTCCCTTGACGTTCAAATGGCTGCCTTCCTGGCCGTGTCCTCACATGGGCTTTCCACTGTGGGCTCATCCCTGGTGTCTGTCCTCATGGAAGCATTCCAGTCGTATTGGATTCGGGCTCTGCTGGCATCTTAACGTAATCACGTCTTTAAAGACCTTATCTCCCAGCTCCTGGGTGGCTCAGGTGGTTAAGGGTCCCGTCATCGGCTCAGGTCATGGTCTCATAATTTGTGAGTTCGAGCCCCATGTCAGGCTCTGTGCTGACGGCTCAGAGCCTGGAGCCTGCTTCTGATTCCATGTCTCCCTCTCTGTCCCCTTCCCTGCTTGTGCTTTCTCTCTCTCAAAAATAAAATAAACGTTTAAAAAAATAAAAAATAAAATAAAGACCCTACCTCAAAAAAAACAAACCAGAAAATTCCACAAAAATGGTTACATTCTGGGGATGGGGGTTGGGGCTCAACATAATGAACTTGGGGGTACACGATTCAGTCCACAACAGTGGCTGTGCTGCCTCATGCGCCTGCCGGCACTGTGCGGTGTGCCCACTGCGCTCCGCACCCTCCCTGCTTCATTCCCAGCATGTGGTGTGGACAGTGTTTCTGTCACAGCCATTCTAGTAGCCGTGTAACAATATCTCTGTGTGATTTTAGTTTGCGCGTCCTTGACGTTTCCTTGATGGCTGATGACGTTGGCCCGCTTTTCATGTGTTCATTTGCCATCAGTACATCCTCTCGGGTGAAATGTGTCTTTATGTCTTTCGCCTATTTCCTAGTTGGTGTATTTGCTTTCTTACTGTTGAGTTTGTGGTGTTCTTCGTATATGCTAGAGACTGGTCCTTTTTGGGGTATGTGATTTGCAAATATTTCCCTTCAGTCTTGGAGCTTTTCTTTTTCTTCACAAACAGCAGGGCTTTTTCTCAGAGCAAAAAGGTCAGATTGTTCTGAAGTTCAGATAACTTTTACTCTAACGGATTGTGCTCTTGGTGTCATGTCTGAGAATTTTATACTCAGCTCTAGATCCCGGAGACCTGTTTTTTCCCTCAGAGTTTTACATTTAAGTCCATGATTGGAGTTTGTTTTGATAGAAGAGGTGAGCCCTGGGTTGAGGTTCACTTTTTGCCTATGAATATCCATTTGCTGTGGCAACATTTTTTGAAAAGATTGTCTCGTCTTCCTTGAATTGCTTTTGCTTCTTAGTCAGTGAAACATGCGTAGGTTTATTTCTCACTCTTCTGTTCCACTGATCTCTGTGGAACCCTATCTCAGGCCTGATTATTGTCACTCTATAGTAAGTTTTGAAACTGGGTAGACGGATTCCTCTTTGTTTTCGTCTTAAAAATGGTTTAGCTTTAGTAGTTCCTTTGTCCTTCCATATAAATTTTAGAACAATCTTGTCTGTATAAAAAAAAAAAGTCTTGCTAGGATTTGGACAGAAATTGCATGAGGCTATATTTTGGAGGGAATTGGTTTTTTACTATATTGAATCTTCCAATCCATGAGCACTGTATGTGTCATTTATTTGGATCTTTTTAAAAAAATTCTTTTAAAGTATGGTATGTATGTT